ACAATGAGTCAGAGTAAGCCCTACCTAGACCATCAGGGCCATTGCACAGATGACATACTTCAGGTATAATCAACGATCTTCATCCTTCATCAAGGTCATCTGGAGTAAAGTGGCTAAGAAGACAGAAGCCTCTTGAATGTAACTGGACCCAGGATCTAAGCTGCTCCTGAGGTTCTCTCCCACACTCAGTAATCCCTGGCTCACTTCCTTGAGGACCACATCCCGGGAACAACAGGAAATCTTTGCCCTTTAGAGCCTCTGTGGTATTGACCTCTTCTTCCACTGGGGCTAAATAAGGGCCCTCTGAGCTATCCAAAGACTCAGACTTAGCACCAAGTCAAGTAAGGACTAGCTTTCATTCCAAGTAAATACACATTCACTATACGTATAGAGAGAGAGCGTCACCTCTCCCATGTAAGATATCTTATAACAATATCATCCTCTGGTCCCCCAAGCCTGATCTAGGAAAGAAATGCTTGAATCATCCCAGAGGAAAGGACGCCTGCCAATTTAGGAGGATCTGAGCTATTTTTCTAGAGTTTATGAAGCTGTGAGGAGGGCAAGGATCTTGAGGACAACGCAGTTCTGCACCTCAGAAGGAATAAAGAAGGACCAGAGAGGGTCAGTTGGAACTATGTTCAAAAGCATTCCATTCTTATCAGGTACCTCTTCCTGGAGATAATCCAAGAAGCCACCAGACCAAAGAGCCCTTTCCCTTACCGAGGTAGAATTGATTTGTCACAGACATGGCTTCTGGGAGGTTGGAGGCATGACCTGGGCAGTCATTTATACGTGATGATGAATCTGCTGATTAACAGAACAAACCTTTTGTTCTGAGATAGGAGAATGCCATTTTGCCAGATGGGAACAGGTTGAGGACCACTTGGGTTAGGTTGGTATTCCAAATGGCAAAAGGAGCCCATTTATGAAGGAATAGCTGCCTTATCCTACACTCAGCAAAATATGGCATCACTACCCTAAATGTCCATATTAGTAATGGACTACTTCCCAACCTCTGCTGTTGTTATAATATCAGGGCAGTCAGGTCATTTAGCATACGATGTTCCTGACAGGAGCTGACACGCCCCATAAATAATTATATGCAGTGGGAGGCACTGGCAAAATTCCTCCATTGGTCCTCATCCCAAAGAGGAGAGCTTTGGTTGCCCTCTTTGCCAGACCCATGACCACCTCCCACCCATAAAGTAGTGTAGATGATCTTTTCTGCAGCACCCCTCAAGACTCTCTCATATGCTGGCCATATAGCCTGGAACTCAGCCTACTGGAAGGAAATGCTCTGGGCTGGTAGAGGAGGTAGGGTTCTAGGGCCTGGACTGGAAACTTAGGTCTCTGTCATAGTGAAACCTAGTGACGAGCATGAACACCAGAAGGACCCAAACACACACCATTTTGAATGGTCCATTTCCATTTAGCAATAGAAGCCTCTTCTGCCCTGCCCATCTTGTTAAAGGGATGATCTTTCATCACCTGACCTATGATAGAGAACTCTGGACAAAGGATAATTGTATCACCCTGAATCATCTCTTTAGGAACAACTAGGGCTCAGTAATAGATAAACAACTGATTTTCAAAAATGGAATAGTGAGTTGCCACTTGGGGGAACCCAGAGGATCAGAAGCCTAACAGTTGCTTAACCTGGCCACCCACTGGTACCTGCCAAAGGCTGCACTCAGCCTTCCACTGCATATCTTTAGGAACCGAGACCTCCAAAAACATGTGCCAGGGAGACACTGAGGATAGTCTGCATTAGATTTTCCAAGGTTATAACCTATCCTGGGCCCCACTTAAAGGGGGCAAATTTGCAAGTGCCTCAGAAAATGGAGGCCATCAGAATGCTCAGATTGGGAATGTGGTTTCTCTAAAAATCAAAGAGTCCAAAGAGTCTCTGGGCTTCCTTCTTAAAAACAGTAGGGTCAGTAGTTTATTCTGGACTGTGTTTTTGCCTTCCACTGTATTTCCCTAAATTTAACTGAGTCAGCTGGACACCAGATTTTCATGGGGTTGATTTTCCACCCTTTTGTCTGTCATAGGCACCACTAACAGATCTAGGACCTCTGCCACTGTAGTTTCATCTGACTTGGTCAACATTATATCACCAATGTTGTGGTGCCCATGCCATCAGTGCCCTAAGGAAGAGAAGACTCTTTCAGGTCTCTGCCCACTATGATGTGGCAATAAGAAGGAGAACTCAGGTAGCTGCGGGCAAGGATAGTAAAGGTATTTTGGACTCCTTTTAAGGTCAAAGCAAACTGCTTCTAACTAGCTTCCGCTACAAGAATAGAGAAACAAGCATAGGTGAGATAATAACCCTATACTACTCACCTGTGCCTGGGCTACAACATTGATGAGGCCAGACACAGCTGCAGTAATTAGGCATGATGACTTTGTTTAGCTCCCCCTGGAAGCTGCCAGGTGCCATCTGCCTTCCTCATGAGCAACAGAGGGTCATTGTAAGGGGAGCTGGATTTAATGAAGTGCTCCAGCTTCCTTCTTCTCCATCACTAGAGAAAAGATACTCTGCAGTCCCTTGGGGACCCAATGTTGTTTGGTGTTCTCCATGTGGGATGATGGTGACAATTCCAGTGGTTTCCATTTGGTCCAGCTCCCACACAGTTATACACATAGAGGATGATGAAAGGGTCTGCACCCCATAAAAGAAAAAGAAAAAATTCAGACTTCTTCTCTGGTAAAGGGAGGGCCAAAAAATTTTTACTAGGATTTTCCAGATTATGGGGGCAACTGGTCCCTAATCTCCTCAAAGTGGAAGAGATAATAGTTCTTTTCCTCTAGTGATCTGCCCTCTGTGACTACCCAGAAGAGTCCATATACAACGTGGGGTTAACAGGATACCTTAGGCTTAGAGGGGGTTAAAGGGTTTTTAATATCCTTGTGCTAAATTTCCCTATGCAATTTTATCAGCATCCCCTAGGCCAGCCAACAATTTAAAAAAAAAAAAACCAACTTAATGTTTCAAGAGTCATACTGAAAGGTCCCTCCAGGATCTCATTTTGTAGTAGGGTGGTGGGCTCTGTGACTACTACCCCCCCATTTTAGATGAAGGAAGAAGAGAGAATATGATAAGGTGATATAGGGGTCCAGAGGAGTGGGATTAGGCTTGAATTGAAAACATAAGCAGAAAAAGCAGGCCTAGAAAAGAAAAAGGGATGAAGTCAAAGGTACAAATGTGAAGATAATTAGAGGGAAAACCATTAAGGCAAGGGTTCTTAGCTTTTTTGTGCTGTGGATTCCTTTAGCAGACTGGTGAAGCCTCTGGAACCCTTCTTTGAATAAAGCTTTTAAATGCATAAAAGATAATACATAGTATTATAAAGGAAACCAATTATAATGAAAGTTATCTGTCATTTCATCCATCTAGTGATCAATCAATTGTAACAAATCATGTTCATATAACTCAGGTTAGGAACTCCTGAATTAAAGTGAAATGAACAAAAAGTGAGATCCACTGAGGAAGGCAATTCAGGGAATAATGTGCTCATGTAAAAGGAGTGCAAGATCTGAACCATTAAAAAAATAGAAATGAAGGGAAAGAGGAGAAGGGTGACAAAAAGTGCTATAAAATCAATAGTCATGAGGAAATGTTAAGTTGTAAAGACAGATAAGATGCAGAAAAAGTGCAGATATCCATAAATGCATAAAAAAAATGAAATGAACAAATAAGTATTTACTCAGGTTTACAATGTTAAAGCTGAAAGGAGTTTTAAAGACAATTTAAGCCACCTCTCTTACTGTAGAGAAGAGGAATGAGAAAGCCTGCGTTGGAATCCTGGTTTTCTAACTCCAGACTCAAAGATAGTTAGTTTCCCGGTACCCTGTTTTTGATTAGGAGATTCCTGCAATGTGTGGAATGCTGAAGTTAAGTGAGACTATGGGGGAGGGGGGAAGCTCCAACCCCCACCTTGATAAATAAAATTTTGGAGAAGGAAAGGGCCCAGAGGCATGAATGAATGAATGAACGAACGAATGAACGAAAAGGTTCATTATGTGCTAGGGAATGCGGAAAATAATTTAACAAGGCGTATGTTAAAAACCGATCTGCTTCCTCTTTGCAAAAAAAAAAAAGCAAGACAATCTGTTTTTATTCTGAATGATCTCCTTTACGTTCTCTTTAACTTCATGATCAATCATGGTAGCTATTATTCAGCCCTAGGTGTGATTTCCTTCCTTCCTCCTTCTCCCTTCTCCCTTTTCTCTTTTCCCCTCTCTCCCTTACCTCCTTTTCCTCTTTCCCTCGTTCCGATAAATAGCAAAGAAGAAATCCAATCCGGCAAAGAGGCACAGTTGTTAGCATATATAAATTAACAGTCAAGACAGAGGATCACTCGGGAAGTAAAAGAAAGGAGCAAGTAATCTCATTACAAAGTAAAGACAGTATCTGCATATCAAGAGAGCCTTGCGAAGGGTCTAATGTGACTGATCCAGCAATGTTGCCCCAGGGACCCAGAAATCCTTCTCTACCCTTCCCCCGCCCTAATACCTAAGCAATGCGCCCAGCGGGAGAGACTAGCGGAATATCAGGGTAAACTGCCCAGGCCGACTGCATACATAACTTATTGACTGACTCTCTCTCTCTGTCTCTGCAGAGCTGCGTCTGGCGGGGAGGACTCCTGCGGGCAGCCACCTTCCAGGTGGCCGGGGCTACTGCACAGCTCCACGCAGTGGCTCTGCGCCCGCCGCCGCCCCCTCCTCGCACCTCACCTGCAGCCCCACTCTCGGCCAGCTCACACGGGCTTGACTCATCTTCCATGGAGGGGTGGGGGCAGAAACCGAGAGCGGGAGGAGGGCGTGGAGGCGGCCGAGCCGGCCCTTCCCCCCGTGCCAAGGAGGAGGAGCCCGAAGGGTTCAGGTGAAACCGCGCACGCACGACCCAGCCCGGCCACCTTGGCCGCCCCGGACGGCCAGCCAGGCGGGTGGGCCGAGCCGAGGCCACCCCCGCAGGGAGTCCCGGCTCGCCCCCCGGGCCCCGGGCCCCAGCGCCTCCAGCGCATGGAGGGCGGCGGGCCTGTCCCCTGGAGCAGGTGACACGCACCGGCGCCCAGGAGGAGGAAGATGGCCAGGGAGCTGAGCCAGGAGGAGCTGCTGGACTTCCTGTGCCAGGCCGGGGGCCGGGTCACCAACGCCGCCTTGCTGGGGCACTTCAAGAGCTTCCTGCGGGACCCCAGCGCGCCCCCGGGCCAGCTGCAGCAGCGCCGCGAGCTCTTCAAGAGCCTCGTCAACTCGGTGGCCGCCGTGCGCCAGGACCCCGACGGCACCAAGTGCGTGGTGCTCAAGAAGAGGTACCGGGACCTGGTAGGGGAGGAGGGGCTGCGGGGGCCCCGCGGCGACCCCCAGCCCGCCGCTCCGCAGCAGCAGCAGCCGCCACCGCAGCAACAGAAGCAGCTGCAGCCGCGCCCCCCGGGAGCCCCGGCCGCCTCCCCGGGCAGCTGGCGCCGGGCGTCTCGGCAGCGGCAGCAACCCCAGTCCCCGCAGCAACAGCCCCAGCCCCATCAGCCCCGCCTCCGGCCTCAGCCCCAGCAGCCGCAGCCTCCGCAACACCAACCCCAGCGCCAGCCCCCTCAGCAACAGCCCCAGCCTGAGCAGCACCAATCTCAGCCCCAGCTCCAGCCTCAGCACCGTCAGCGCCGGCCTCAGCAATACCAGCGACAGCCCCAGCCTCAGCGGGCCGGGAGGCAGCCTCGGGAGAAGGAACCACAAACTGAGCCGGCAGGTGCAGGAACTTCAGCTCCGGAAATAGAGTGCAATGGACTCTCTGCCAGGCCTGGGGATGCTCCAGAGTCCACCGAAACCGGGATTGCAGGTGATTGCAGCCCCGGGAGGCTGGGGGAGGCAGCTGCTGCGGACCCTTCACCCCAGGCTAGGATATGCTTGGCTGCTTCAGGGACTCCAGGGGGCTGCCGGGAGCGGCTTCTGGATAGCCCTTGGGCTGGCTCCACAGAGCCACACCTCCTGTCGCAGGGGAGCCCTCCCTTGGGAGAGCAGCAGGCCCCGGAACCCAGATCGGAGGGACCACTCGAAGGCACCCGACATTCTAGCACTGGCTTATCCACCAAGCACTCACCATTGGCCACAGAAACCTTCAGGGCATCAGAGACCAGCCCTTCCTTGGCATCCCTTGCTTTCCCTGGGGATAGGTCAGAGCTATTGACCCTAAGTGGACCACATTCCTATGTAGCCCAGCAGCAGCAACGAACCCGGGAGTGGGTGGTCAACCACTGCCGGCCCTGCCCGGGCAGTGTTGCAGAAAAGCCACGGCTAAGTCCCAGCCGGGTTTGGTGTGTGCTACCTGAGAACTTCGCCAGGGCACCCTACAGTGGGGAGGACCCAGACTCGGAGAGGCTGCCGCCTCCTCCTCCCGCTTCCCCTCCTCTCCTACCTGCTGGGTCTTCAGTTTTTCGGAGCATCCGTTGTCAACTAGACCTCCAGGACCTGGAGAACTTTGTGGAAGAGGATAGCCATGACAGTGAGGAGAGTACCAGTGGCCCAAGGGAGTCTCCAGGGGAGTTAGAGGAAGCCTCAAAAGTTCCCCTGGAAAATGGAGCCCAGGAAAAACTCAGGACCCTAGCTGGGCATTTTATCAAATCTCAGCAGGAAAATACTCCTCTCAATAAATCCCAGGGACCCATATTTAGAAGTGGTTACTCCCTCCAACATATCCCAGAAAGAGTTAATGGTCCTGTTGTAATGTCAGCCAAAAAACCCAAGGAGTCCTCTACCCTGCCTCAAGACCCCATTCCCTGGCCAGCTGTCAGGTTAAAGAGATCTCTGAGGAGAAGTTCCAGGGCAGGGAGGGACAAAATATCCTCCTCTGATGAGGAGTTGCTGGACAAAGACTTGGTGAAAAGGAACCGTCGGCCACCCCGATCCAGAAAGTTGTCTAGGGCAGGAGCAGTGCCCTCTCCAAAGGTAGATGCCCCTTTGGCCCTGAAGCCAACAGTTTCTAAGGCCGCATCAGAGCAAAGACTGGCAGGTAGCATTTGGGTTCCCCCTGGGGGTGTGTCTTCTGTCTTAGTTTCAGTCAGACCTTCCACACACAAATCCTCTTTAGTGCCCCTGGACTCCCGGGAGCATGAATGGATTGTGAGAATAGCTAGTGGCTCATGGGTACAGGCACTGACTCTGTTTTGGGAAGACCCTCAGCTGGCTCTTCGAAAAGACTTTTTGACTGGGTATACTGCCTTGCACTGGATTGCCAAACACGGTGCTCTCCAGGCCCTTCAGGAATTGGTCAGGGGGGCCCAAAAGGCAGGGATCGTTCTTGATGTGAATGTGAGGTCCAGCTGTGGGTATACCCCGCTGCACCTCGCTGCCATCCATGGGCACCAGAGTATCATCAAACTTCTGGTGCAGAGGCTGGGCTCTCGAGTGAATGTACGGGACAGCAGTGGGAAGAAGCCTTGCCAGTATTTGACTAGCAGTACCACTGGGGAAATATGGCAGCTTCTTGGCGCCCCGAGGGGGAAGCCCATTTTCCCAGTTCGTTCCTTAGTTAGAAGTTCTTCACCCACCAGGAAGGCCAAGAGCCATGATGTGTCAAGGAACATAAGCAGAAAGACCTCCCTTGCTGCATTACTCAAAAGTCAGCACCACAGATGGAAAATGACCCACCAGTATGACAAATTCCGAACATCAGGGGACAGAGACGAGTATAGTGACTGAAGCGTCCCTCGATCAAACGTGCAGAGACTTCTTGATCTGGGGTGACCCCGTGAACAACCTCCACACTCTGCCAAGATCAGAGTTACTCCTGACTTAGAGGACTCAAGATGAATCTTGAACTGGGAACTGGGTAGGTCAATGAGGACAATTGGCTTATGTAGAGGGCACATCTCTCTAGACTTGTGTTAGTAGCTCTGCCAGAAGTTGCTAGTGTTGAAGGCTCTGCTTTCTTAAGCAGGAATGGCAGACATGGGGCCAAGGTAGAAGTCTGGAAAAACTCAGCACAGACAATCCTTTATTACCACGGATCAAAGTATCAGGCTCTTGAGCAGATGCCTCAACAGGAGAGCCGATAAGGCACTCAGGGCTCAGAGACTTCCACTGTGGCTCAGCATATTTCTGTCCAGTGCCATACCCTCTCCCCCTTATTCTTTACAATAAATCTTTCCCAAGACCTCCCTTGAGGATTCATAGACCACTACCCCCTTTTAGATTAAGTGGGAAGGATGGCTGATTAATCATGATCTCCAACCCCAAAGTGCCCCCCCACTCCCACCCCAATGCATCAAACTTGAATGGCCAATCTCAGAGTTCCTGATTACAATGAATACTGAATAATTGAGAGTTAAAGGGAGAACATTGCCTTATCCACATGGGGGAAAATGAAATACAATTTCTGGAGCTGCTAGCAAAAATTTAATTTGCACTAAATATGTGTCCAGTGAAGATTGTTTTGATGGAAGCACATCATATCAAATCTATTCTAGGAAAGATGAGTTAGCCCATGTACCTTACAATGGGACAGAAAGATTTCAAGCCATAAATAGAAAGAATGAATAGAAACACAATATAATTCTATGCAAAAAATATCAATTCTAAATGAATGGCAGAGGGGAATGTTAATTTTATTCAGCAGTCTTTTAATGGACAGTTGCAATAAAGCAGTATTTTAAATTGTTTGTGTTTCATTTGTGTTCAAGTTCAATCACCATTAGATAGCAATAAAAGTTTTGCAATTTAGGATAGAGAAGCACTTAGCACATTTTGCTTTCTGTGTCCTGTTTCCCATACTGGATTATAAAATTGTTTGAGGGTAGGAAATGTCTTTGTCTCTCATTCGTCTGGCTCCCAAAGCTAGGGCTCTGTGTTCTTAGGCATCTACTATATGCCAGGCACTGTGCTAGGCACCAGTGATACAAAGAAATGTCAAGACAGGGTCCCAGTCCTTAAGGCGCTCAGCCTAAAGCGGGACATAAGATATATACAGTAGTAGGTGGAAGGCTCTAGCAGTAAGGGAGAACAGGAAGGACCTGCTGCAGAGGGTGGGATTTGGGCTATGTCCTGAGGGAAGCCAGCTTGTGGAGGGAGGGAGGGAGAGTATTATGGGCATGGACGACAGTCAGTAGAAAGGCATGGAGTTTGGGGATAATTCAGTGGGAGAGTAAAATGTAGAAATACTAGAAAGATGGAAGGTACATAATAACATACAAGTTGAGAGATTTATTGAAAACTCACTGTGGAAGGAAAGAAACTTCCGTTTATTAAGCACAAGGCATTGTGCTCACTATTTCACAATAACCCTGTGAAGCATGTGCTCTTATTATCCCCATCATACAGTTGAGGAAATTGAGGCAGTTAAAGTGACTTGCCAGGGTCACACAGCTATTAAGCGGTGGAGGTTATATCTGAACTCAAGTCTTCCTGGCTCCAGACCCAGCACTATGTTCACGGCGCCACTTAGCTGCTGCTGTGACCTTAGGTAAGTCCTTTGAGCCTCAGTTTCAATGTGTAGGTTGGACCAATCAGATTGCTAATGCCCCTCCCACCTTTAGGGTTCTAGGATTGCTATTGGTGGGCTCAGGAAAGATTTCGTGTAGACTGTGAAAGCTTCACTGGCCTGTGTTCATATTCCCAAACCAGATGTTGGTTCTGCCACATTCTTGTCTTCTTTAAGGCCTGATTTATTGCTAGCACTTGTATTAGTGGGTTATTGCCTTCTTTAGAGGATAGGACATGGTCTCACGATTGGACCAGTTAGTCTAGTCAGATCTCTTCCACTCCCTGGCTATAGACTAGATCCCCCAACTCTGGCCAAGTAGTCTCTGTCTCTCTCTCTGTCTCTGTCTCTCGCTCAGTGCTGCACCATGTAGCTGCTCCTTCTGGACAAATATTCTTACAAATACATGCTTTTGTTCAGAAGGGGGTCTAGTCCAAGTAAGGGTGTGTATGTACATGGTTCAGTCAAGCAAAGCTTCACGCCTAGAAAAACAACTAAATACTGCCCTCCTAGAAATGGGCCAGTGTCAGCACTTTCCTGTTTTAACATCCTTATTACTAAACATTATGCTTTTCCCCAGCCCCCTATTCCATTTCACAGAGTTCCAGTTTTGTAGTGTTCAGGCATTTGATGCAAATCAATTGGATCAAATGTAAAGAACCCAAGAGATGCAGTGTCTTCCAGCTATAAAAGCATGACTACAATGTTGATTTGGCTTCATGGATCTGGCTGAGAATTCAAGTTTTTTAGGTTCCAAGCCTGTAAGGCTACTTAGCCTTTTTTGAGTAGAAAAAGAAGAGGACATTTCCACTAATGACACAAATCTGCTTCATAGTCATGGATGACAATACTAAATTATGCATAGATTTTTATTTAGAAACAATCAAAACAGGAAGACAAGAGGGCTGAATTTGATCTTTTTTTGATCAGGTCTGGCTGTTAGGGATTCTTGGCAGGGGGAAGCAGGTAAAAAGTGCTAGTTAAAATTAAACTTTGAATTATCTGTGTATTTTAATAATCTGTACTTTATTCCTTTCTAACACATATATCCTAACATCAAATACATATGTGGCAGGAGAAAAATGCTTTTCATTTTTGGGCACAAACCTGACAGAGATAATTTATTAATTTAACTATTCTAATTCTAAGTCTCTCTGCATACAGAGAGAGAAATCAGAAAAGACATAGAAATGTATCCAACTTTCAAAAATTTCTCTATAACAAGCCAGTTTGGAGTTACAATTTATAATGTTCTTAAACTAAGACAAAAATTGCATCTTAAGAGAAGACATAGTCACAGACCAAAGGTGAAAGGTCAGTTAATATTTTGATTTATCAAATGAAACAATAGTCCCTTAACTTTTGTTCTTCCCTGGATAATCATTTTTCTAAAATCATTCCATCCTTATTTAACCACTCCCTCGAAGGTGTCTCCTTTCTACCTGGTCAAAGGTGAACTCAAGACATTTCTATTAAGTTGAACTTATCAGACTTCTCTCTTCCTCGAGTCTGACCATTACTTTAATCATGTCAGGAGGGGTCCTTCCAGGACTGAACTGGCCTTTTCTTAACTAGATAGAGCCTTGATAATGATTTTAAAATTTCAGTGTAGGGTATTGTTTGGAAATTGATAGTTAAAGACTGATTAGGATGTCCCATTTGGGTCAGACCAAGCACCTCAGACTATAGTATTTTGTAATAAATGTTGTTGCTGTCTCTCCTTCATTCTTTTTTTGTTTGTTTGTTTTTTGGCTAGGCAATGGGGTTAAGTGACTTGCCCAGGGTCACACATTGTCCTTCATTCTTGAAGAGGACCATAACTTCAGGAAGGTGATGGCATGATATGCAAATGAATTGGATTTACTTGAGGAAGGGCTGTGCAAAGTCACCAGCCTCACTTTCTTCTCCAGAGCCATCTGGGTCCAATGGCAAGACATAGATCAGGACGACTGATGCAGTGGGAGGTCATGGCCTTTTTAAGCTAAGGTCTTTCCCAGATCTGAGTTTGACTGAGGCAATGCCTATTCCGATTACATAAGAAATGAGGTAAAGAATGGCCTCATTTAGCCAAAAAAAAAATCAATCTGGGAGGGGAAGACCTTCCGGGTTTCTGGCCAAAATAGAAGCTATTGATGCCCAAACAATGACCAGGTGGGCTTGGGCTGGGACCTACTGTGGGCCAATCAATGAGAGCCAGAGTGATTTAGGTTTAAGGCCTGGTACTTAAGAAGGAAATCTAGCCCATAAACCCCAAGATATTTTGCCAGGTTACAGTGATCAAAATTTACATTCCTTTTCTAGGGTAGAGAGCTGTGTATACTTCCATCTATACAATGGAGCATTTTATATCTATTTACCTTGTTGTTTATATATATCATCGGTTGCCTTGTATCTTATTATTTAATAAATTCTTTTCAAAGATGGAAAGAAATTACATAGGTTAAAGGAAAAGGCATCAAATGGGAAGGGATTAATTTCCCAGCTTCATGCAAAGAAAAACAGACATTTAATTTCACAGTTGTAGTTTTGTTCTCATTCCTATAATCATAGAATCTTTATGTTTATGTCATCTTACACTTTCTTGTGGTCTCCAGGGGCCAGGTGCTTATTTGTTTCAAGCTTCCTAAAAGCTCCTTGAAAAGTATCTATGCAGAACAGATGGATAGTTTCCACCTGGAAATCCTTGAGTTGTGGGTACAGAAATGTCTCTTTATTCCATCATACTTCCCGTTTTACTTGTTCTTATGGCATACATCTGTCTCTGGGAGTTCCCCAGGTCCCAGTGTGGGGAGTTCTTAAGTTCAAAGCTTCTAAGATCTTTGTTTCCTACCAAATGAAAAAAAAAATAACATTTCCCCCTGCTCAGAAACCACCAGCTAATCTGCAAGAATCTGGATCATTCCTAGCACCTGGACAATTAATGAACATAAGATTCTGAGTTGTGCTTTGTTGTTCCTGACAGAAGTGGAGGGGGAAAGGATTATTTGGGTGGGAGGCTGAAGGCAATATTCCATATATATAATACTTGCTTCCAAAGTCTCTCTCTCTTTTTTTTTCATTCTTTTTTAAAATTTTATTGATTTATTTTGATTTATCAACAATCACTTCCATATGCTTTTGAGTTGAAAATTTTTCTCCCTCTTCCTCCCCCCCACCCTCCCCAAGACAGTACACAATCTGATATAGGCTTTACATTTACATACCCATTAAACATATTTTCATATTAGTGAAGTTGTAAGTAAAAATTAAAACCAATAGGAGGAACCATCAGAAAGATGAAACAAAACTCAACAGAAGGTAAAAGTAAGCGATAGCGATTCGACTTCCATAGTTCTTTCTTTGGATGTGGACAGCATTTTCCATCCTGAGGCCTCTGGAGATATCTTAGATTCTTGTAATGCTGAGAAGGGTTCAGTTTAACAATCTTAGTCATTGCATAACATGGCTGTTATTGTGTACAAAGTCCTCTTGGTTCTGCTCACTTCACTCAGCATCAGACCATATAAGTCTTTCCAGGTTTTTCTGAAGTCAGCCTGTTCATCATTTCTTATAGCACAATAATATTCCATTACATTCATATACCACAACTTGCTCAGCCATTCCCCAATTGATGGGCATCCTCTCAATTTCCAATTCTTTGCCACCACAAAAAGAGCTGCTATGAATATTTTTGTACATGTGGGTCCTTTTCCCATTTGTTTGATCTCTTTGGGATATAGCCCTAGAAGTGCTATTGCTGGATCAAAGGGTATGCACATTTTTGTAGCCCTTTGGGCATAGTTCCAAATTGTTCTCCAAAATGGTTGGATCATTTCACAACTCCACCAACAATGTATTAGTGTTCCAATTTTCCCACATCTTCTCCAACATTTATCATTTTCCTGTTTTGTCATGTTGGCCAATCTGATAGGTGTGATGTGGTACCTCAGAGTTGTTTTCATTTGCATTTCTCTAATCAATGATGATTTAGAGCATTTTTTTATATGACTATAGATGGCTTTAATTTCTTCATCTGAGAACTGTCTGTTCATATCCTTTGACCATTTATCAATTGGGGAATGGCTTGTGTTCTTATAAATTTGTCTTAATTCTCTATATATTTTAGAAATGAGGCCCTTATCAGAGAGACTGGTTATAAAAATGCTTTCCCAATTTTCTACCTTCCTTCTAATCTTAGTTG